CTATTATTTACAACATATATCATTTACAAGTGTTTCTATTTCCTATGAATTTGACCTTTAAAGAAATTATTCCTTAAATTGTTTAATCTCATACTATGTATATTAACCAAGCGTTAGTAATAAGAAATCATCAGCAAAGGAAGAAAAGTTTTTTTTTTCTTTTTTTAAAGTCATAATTTCCGTACCCTCAATCTTCCCATGAACATTTTTTTCAGCTACATGTAGTTACATGTAGTATAAATTGAAGTTTAATTCAGACTTGTAAAGGGACCACAGCGATGTAGAAATTTTAAATTGTTATTTATGTCCATAAATAAAAAAAAGTGTATTTTCATCATTAATTCACTCAATATAAATTACAGAATGTCTACCTGGGTACAGTGGATATAACTGTAGTCAATCATGTCCGTATCCTTTGTATGGAGACGGGTGTCAAGGAAAATGTGACTATTACAACAATATGTGTGATGTTTCCACTGGTTGTAGAATTGTTACCAATGGTAAGGCTATCCAAACTGTATTTATTGTATAACACAATAGTGATTTGTAACAATCAAAACCTGGCAACTTATTTTTTTGTATTAATCAAAACCCGACACCTTATTAATCTCTTCATATGTTTCGAGCAAGGTCATTTGTTAGACACTAGTATGTAGCTAGGTATATGACTTTTATATTATTTCATAACAGCACTGAGTTTAGGGAGAGTCTGTTAATGACACACATCTAATCAGTCCAACCAAAATTAATTATGATATATACTTAGGCTTATTGGTATTGCTCTTCAAATGTACCAGATAATAATAAGCAGGGATGTACGCGGCCAGTTGAGGACATGAACAGAAAAAAAATGCATTATAATTTTTTTTTAGAAATAAATGAATAAATGTTTTCAAAAAAAAAATATACACGGAATATATCATTTATAAACAATGGTCATAAAAAATAGCGATGGGGACTGCATATTTCCAAAACAAGACTCTTTCCATTACGTATTTTCCCATTGAATTATAAATCAATTGAAGTTCCTAATGTCTAATTTGGATAGATGAATGTTTTGTTTTCTTTCAAATTTCACTCTTAAGATATAAATTCTGTGCTGTTTAAGTGTTAGACTGCAAAGTTTGTTTTAAATATTTAAGAACAATGCAAATATACGTTGAATAAAACACATGATCAACATACTGAGGACCTCAATAATTAAAATATGGATATGTTTTTGAGTCTATTGCTCCGGGTACAGTTATGATTCAAAATAAGTAGATATACCATTAAAAGTTCATGTCTACCCGTAATTCTATGATCATGGTTAGAACTGACGAGGGCCCTGAAATCAAACATGGATCAAAATAAAAAAAAAAAATCAACAATTCCTTTTTGAAATAATCTCTCACTGCTGTTTCTTTAATTTCTTTTTTCATTTTCTTCGACATTTATATATTCAGTAATATAAAATAATATTTTCCTGTGACGTCTTTGGAAGACTGTATACGGAACGGAAGTGTTCTATGCAATCCCTTCCCCTTGTGACTAGTTGACTATGGTAGGGAATGCATGATGTGTACATTTCAATTCGTGTCGATAGTGTATATACTTTTCAGCGCAATGGAGATATCACACGGGTGTTCTAAAGCAGACTTTAAATTCCTATGAAAAATATTCATTTTGGTTAATAGAATTGAATTTAATATTTTAAAGGGGCTTGGACACATATTTCTAAACTTTTCAGTATTGTATCATGACTTATATGTTGTTAGAGCATTTCACGTCGAAATATAATATAAGCGTGTTGAGAAACGTCTTTTACATGGAAATTAATAAAAATACGAATTTCGGGACGCATTTGATTGGCATATATCCGTAAAGAATATCGCTGTGATTGATTTCTAAGATTATTCATTAATAAACATAGAAATAATATAAACAATGCAACTTTGTCCAGGCCCCTTTAATATATTTTCAATAAATAAATAAATAAAATGCGTTTTTAAATTTCTGTTTAGGCCCTACAGATGATTGTACATGTATGAATAATACAATAAGATTTGTAAAAATGATGTCAAAAACAACTTTTACACATGTTATTTCATACCTCATAGGGTAAATGATTATTTGCATTTTGTTAAATATTTTTTGCACATGTATACAAAGTATTCGATATTATTAGAAAAAATGCTTTATACTCATGATCAATGTACAGATAAAAAAGAAGAAAATTCAAAGCAAAATTGAAAGCAGCCTCAATGCAGCAAGCTTGATAAGTTCTCGGTCAGCACGAATTGTGACTTTTGAATTTTATAAACAAATATTTTATATTAGATGTATTTGTTTCACAAATCTTATTCGACACGCATTTAAAGGAATGTTTTCATAAAAGAGATTTGATACCTTAAGATTTCGTTCTTTTCTGTCAGATAAAATATTTTTTTAAAAATCTCGATATTGATATCTCTGTCTTGTATTTAACGATATTTTTCAAAATGAAATATTGCATACCAAAACATAAGAAATGTGCTTGAATGAAATTCTTAAAATTCCGAACTCTACGACCTTGCTATTTACTATGTTTAAATGCTGTCGATTGATAAAATGATGACCTACTTTACGTTTGCTTTGTTTTTTCAATCGGGGGATAACTGCACATATTTAATATGTTACCTGCAGGGTTGACAGTATTAGAACCCTTTAATCGAGCAGAATGAATGTGGATTGTCAAGTTAATTTGGTTAAAAAAAAATACAATATATATCTTTCTTTTTTTTTACTTGATTCTTTCATACTACATTAGATTAAGAAACATTTATGTGCCATTCAGCAAATGTATGGAAAAAAAAAATCATAAAACATCAAGATTCATTCCTGGAATGAAACAAAATTGTGATATATATGCATGTTTTTCTTCTTGTTCACATATGACCTGCATTACTGGCTACAGTATTTAAAAAAAAAAAAAAAAAAAAAAAAAACAGGAACAAAGAACAAAACCAAAACAAAAATAATAATAATAATAATAATATGATTATAAATGGGCAAACAGAAACACATTTTGCAAATTAACAAACAAACTGAACGAAACGGAAAATTAAATAGAAACAAGACCGAACAGCAAAAGAGGGGACAAAATGTGAAGAAAATTCTTTATCCAAAGTACATGTAGTAAGCCTTCCTCTTGTATCCTTTTGTTCATCTGATTAATGATAAATGTGAATGAATTTTGTATGCATATAATACATATTTATGTAAAGGAAAATCTGGCAACATTGAAGGCATATATGGTCGGAAAATTTTGACGACAAAAGTCTGCTATATTTATATTTTGTGAAATGGAGCTGATTAATACTACATGTCTTAGAATAAAAAGGATCAAGCATCCAGAATTTTGGACAATGTAAATGAAAAATGCTGATCGTATGGTCTTTCAGTTTATAATACATAACGATTATAATGTTGCAGTTTGACTTGTAAGAAAAGTTTTACATTGAAAAAAAAATAAAATTCACTAAAACTTTTTTTGTTTAAATTCATAAACAGATTTTTTTAGCAGAATAAAACACTCATATACATTGAAGCTGTATCAGAATTCAAGATTTTAATTTAGTTGGACAACGTATTGTTAAAACTATAATATTATGATTGGACGTTTAAAACCACAGACATATCAATTATTTCTCTTAGATTGTTCAATAATTTCAACTACATACATATAGATATTTCGATACATGAACATTTCCATATCGTTTTTTATCAACTTGGGAGTATGTTTAAAAATAAGAGTAAATTAATTCCTTCTTTAAATTTGTGAACAATATATATATATATATATATATATATATATATATATATATATATATATATATATATATATATATATATATATATATATATATATATAAGAACTCCAGGGATTGAGAAGTACAATGTATTTTTGACCTTTAAACCTACATATTTAGCTGATTTTTTCTAGTAGTCAAATGACCCAAATATTACTGTTTATCAAGATTGCTTCATTAATTTGCTGTTGTTCTCAAAAATCTAGGAATCAGTTCACATTTTATATAAATCATACAAATGTCTGAAAACTGACATGTTTTAATCAGATTAAACCTGATTTAGATAAGAGTAATTTTTTTTTTTTTTGTACACTTTTATGATATATTTTTATAAGCAGTAATCGCTTTTATTCATACATTTATCATCATAATCAGATACATGTATTTGTTTTCTGGAAACAAAAATGTCTGACATTACTTCCCAGTCATAGCTTTATTGGACCATGAGCGCAAATCCAGTGACAAAAAATTTAAATATATATGTATCTAACAGTGCTTTAAATTGCACATTTTATGTATTTTACTTTGTAATGAGAGGATATCATATGGGCGTAAAGTTTCTTTTCAAATTTACACTAGCACTGTAATGACAAAGTACCTGCACTGTATATTTGACGTAAGGCATATTCCACATTTAAAGAATTGGAAAAATATGATTATGATTGAATTGACAGCCACAAATCATGGCATTTGCCATATAGATACATGTTATTAAGTTAATGAAGACAAATGAAACAATGTAAGTTTATTGAGCACTAGTATATATTCAATCATAACTACTGCAGTTGAATAATTTGTACCAAAAGCACAGTTTTAAATTCGTCTTAGATTATTTCTAAGTCATTACAAAAGGAATCACCAATGGCGCAAGTATTAACCAACAACAATTTTACGTACCAACATCAAAATATTGTTTAGCATGTTAAACCCACAACATTCAAGACTTGAGATATAACTTATAGAACTTGTTAACCTTTTTGAATATTTTCTAATTCGTATAATTTTTCGAAAATTTAATTCACATTGTAAGAATGATACAAGTATAACCTTTCGAACCCCCCCCCCCCCGAAAAAAAATAAAAACGAGCAAACAAACAAGCATAAATAATAATAATAATAATAATAATGCAAGAAAATACATGTAATTCAATATATATACGCACATATACCCACATATGACTTTTCATACGCTTATTTTCTATTGAATTATTTTCTCTTGCATATATGAAATATTTCAAAAATTTCTTATCACAATTGAATCCCTTCATTTGCTTAAGATTCAAATGCATAAAAATTCATGAATATAGAACTAAGCACTTTCGAAACACTCACGAGGAATTAAAATTCCCATTAATAAAATTTGATATGATTTGTGGAACATAGGAATCAAATCCACACACTGTCAACGTTAAGGGATCTTCTATGTCTCCGATAGAGACATCGGAACAGGCCAAGTTACAGACGACCAATTTAGCATCAGTCTTTCCTGAAGATTGTCGATAAAATTGTAATGCCTGCGAAGGATGTGGGGTTCCAGAAGTAGCGTAAGAATCTGTGTAAATAATGACGACATCGTAAATCTTCTTCTTTTCAATTGCATACTTGAATGGCAGGGATGCGTCAGCAGAGACTTCACTCGGTAAACTTCTCAAGTCCTTTATCTTTTCAGCTACCACTTCGATATCATCATCAGGTCTGATAGGCAAAACAGTTGCTCTGTTGTTCGAGAAAATTATTGCATGGCAATTTTGTTCTGTCCTAATTATCAGAGACAGCATAAAGGCAGCAACGTCCAGAGCTTGTAGAGAAGGAGATCCCACTACAGTTACACTTTCTTCTACCGATTTACTTATATCCAATGCCACCAAAAAACGTTTCTTTGTAGGCTTGATATTTTCGAAAAATAAATACAACCCTTCTTTAAGTGCAGAGCAAATCTGTGGGTAAATTGGCCATTGCAGCGATTTTGATCTGTTTTCACCTTTTTTGTACTGGTTGATTGCTAGCATGTAGGTAAAAGGATGTACCTTTTCTTTTGTGATTAGTTCTTTATTCTTCAGTTTTTCAAGTGCTAAGTATTCTTCAAAAGATGGCTTCTCCTCTGATGTGCTTCTTTTAAAGATTTCCAGCTTAGACATTTTCCCTAAATTTCGAATCAGGGCAGTCACTGGCATATGTCTTGCAAGAGCTAACCAAACCTCTCTTTCGTTTAAGAAGCAGGTCGGTATATGTTCCCTCACTAATCTATGCTCCAAGATAAGCCTCTTCACTTGACTGACATCCTTTGTATGTTTTGCGGTTTCTATCGAAGAGAGGAGGTCGCTTATTTTTTTCAGGGTTGACGTCTGATAAAATTCTCGTTTTCTTTGATTCTCCATAAAGGTGGTAGAATCTGCATATTGTTTTCCTTTCACTGCAAGAATCACCAGATACTTCAAGGCTGGATCTTCTTCTTCCTTGACATTGATATGGGCTAGGCGCATTACGGTTTTATGTCGCCATCCATGTCTTTTGGAGTATTTTGTTATATGAAGTGCCAAAAGTTTTAACTTGGTTTCTGATGTTCCGTAACTATGATACCAATCACAGATTGCTTTCCGATGTGCTCTGCCCCAACCTTTAGACAAAGAATTCTTCTGATTAATTTTTTGACAAAAACTTAGAAATTTGAACAGTTGTGTTGGTATTCGACAAATTGACGGAAGTGCATTATATCCAGCTCTTTTTGTTTGTCTGTCACTCGATCTACAGCATATAGCTAATACAAAAAGCAATGGGTCTTGTCTGCATGCGCGATACTGGAAATGAAGAAGAAGTTCAACAACCCTCTCACCAAGTCCATCTTGAATTAATCTGCAAAAGTGATTATTTTACATTCATACAATAATACAGAACAGGACTTATGTTGAAATAGCTTTGACAATATATGGTATATAATATGATAAGGAAAGGTTCATATATGATTTCTTATATTGAATTTCAGTGATTTGTATTCTATTTCTGTTTATTCATAGTTTCTAATTAATTAATTGGTTGATTTATTTTCTATTCTTTAGATTATATTTGAGAAAAACTATATGATAAAGCAAACAAGACAGTAAAAACCATCTACTTACTCAGAAACGAAGGGTATGTCCTCTAACCGTATCTCTCGACTCCTTGTCCTATAATTTCTGCTAGATGAGCCAGTACAAATGAAACTACAAAGCTGTAGTTCAAGGGTCGTCTTATATACGTAACCACCATCTGGATTTAAAATTTGATAGGGTGAAATTTTAATTTCTTGATTCTCAAAATCCGTTGGATCGGCTTCCAGTCCATGAAATTCGACTTCCATATCATCGAGATCACGGGTCGCCATTTTTTTTTTTGGCTGGAAAATCCCTAAGCGTACTTTCGATTTGATTTTTAAAAAGTTTACCTAAACTACCTAAACTATGAAACGCATGGAGAGAAAAAAAATGAAAAAATAAAATTCAATTGAAAAAAGACCAAAATTGTGTTAAAAAATCAAAATAATCATAGATGTAATTTAATAATAAAAAAGGACAAAATTATGTAAATAAAAACAAACGAAGCTAAACAAAATAAAGAAATAAAAAATGCACACAAATCAAATAAAACAAAGGAAAACAATGATTAAAAATACAGTAGCTTTATGGTGTCCATTAACCTACAATATCATGTACTCAGAACTCGAATTTTCGAATTAAGTTTTTAGAACTTGTGCCCAATCCCATTGTATATATTTATTGCAATAAAATATGTTCAAATGTACTCAGATTTCATATAGAAATCTTCTTCTAAAGGAGATCAATAAAGTCTGAAAATGGCCACAATCACCCAGCCCTCTTAAAGACAAAACTAAGGCCAACATTTCTTTTGTTTGTTTTATTAAACGACAGATACATTCTGTATACGTGATTACCGGCCCGGCAATTAAATTAAGATTAGCCACCCTGTGACGATACATATTGTCGTTTTGTACATATTGTCGTCGACGACGATATTAGCTACCCTCACTGCACATATTGTCGTTCATCGGTACATATTGTCGCCGGCGTCAATATGTACTGAGACTAGCCTTATTTTCCTCCTGTATAATGGAAGACAAAATGTACAGTCAAACACAAGCAAATAGTATCGTCGGCGACAATATGTACAGTCAAGGTCGGCATATATTGTCGTCGATATATTGTTTTGACGAATATTTACTTGAAAAAGAAAAGGGACATTGACAAACACACACACACGCACGGAGGGAGACAGACAGCATTACTTGCAATACTAGAAAACTTTTTGGTCAGAAAATTGTGTCCAGGATTGAAGTACATCAAAATGATATGTCAATATACCGTAATTTTTTAGATACCTGATAAATCAGCCTACATGTATTCCTTTTTTCTTGTAATATATACTTGGAGACATTGGATACATGTATTAGTTTTTGTTTTATTTTTGTTTTTTTTTTTTTTGTTTTTTGTTTTTTTTTTTTTTTTTTTGCTCATTAGTAATGATTATTTGGAAATTATTTTTGCGATATTCTTATATGCAATCATGTGCTGATATAATTGGTGTTGGGTTTGACATTTTCAGAACACCTGAAGTGGAAGCTTTTCTGATCACATTTTGTCTAACCGTCCCTCTGTCTGCAAACTTTTTCACATTTTCAGCTTCTTCTCAAGAACTACTGGGTCAATTTCAACCAAACTTACCACGAAGTATACATGGATAAAGTGGATTCAAGTTTGTTCAAATGAAGGGTTGTGTCCTATTTCAAGGGAAGTACATGTAGTAAAGAATTACTGAAAATTTAGTGACATCTTTTAAAAATCTTCTCAAGAACCATTGTGTCAGAAAAATAAAACGTATGTGAAAGTTTCAGTGTAGGTTCAGTTTTATTCAGATCATGTCACTCAATGGAAGGTGTGGCTATAAAAGGTTTTTCATAGAATATTTAGAAAAAAAAATCTTTCATTTTTTCCCCCCAAGAAGTACTGGGTCAGTAGAGATATACTTATGTAAAAATTATCGAAACAGAGGGCACGTTCAATTCTGAAGTGTTGGCACGAAAAAGATCCTTCACTGCAATGATCCTGAGTATCAAGTATAGGTCTGAATTTGCAGCCCTCAACCGGCAAGTGGTGACGCCTACATACGAATGGAAAATTCTCGAGATGGACATTATAATAACAAACAAACAAACAAAAACAAAAGCAATTTTGTTCAAACATGAGCCCATTAGGATGGGGCCACAATGGGTGATCAAAGTTTTACATAGGAATATATACAAATTATATATCTTTATATATACATGTATATATATAATATAAATTAAGTGTATATGACCATTTTTGAAATTTTTGATTTCTCTGACGACATTTATATGAAACATTGCCGTGAATTGTAATGCGACATGTTCTGATAGACGGCAATATACGCAGTGAGGGAAGGTGAACATTGTTGCAGGCGACAATATAAACATGACGACAAAATATACCGTCACAATCACGCTGCATGAATAGCATACGAGACACGTCATTGTGATTCAATTACCAATAACATTTACGAAAATACCAAAAAACAACAAAAGAAATCTTTGGGCAACAATATCTGCGGGGCGACAATATGTACAGTGAGGGTGGGGTACATAATGTCGCCAGCAACAATATGTACATGTGTATTGTCGCCAACGACAATATGTACAAAACGACAATTTGTACCGTCACACCCCCTTTTCAAAGGTGTGTTCAGTAAACAGATGAAGAGTGACGTTGATTTACACCGATAAGAAAAACATTTAATTTCAATTCATCTTGGCAAATTCTGGCAATTTGTTAGCCGTTATTGAAACCAAAAAAAAAATTATGTTTGTTACAGTGTTTCTACAGAAATATTACGGGTTGTTTCCGTCCATGAAAGGCTAGGTTATACTGTGCTTAGAAATACGTGAAGCTTTCTTATCCTCTACTGTATCTACATGTAATTATCGTTTATTATCCTATTGGATTTCCAATGTCAGTCACATATTATTGGAAAATTATCAAATTGGCCATACTTCTTGCCCAATAAGACACACCAGAAATGTATGTATTTGATTTTCCTCTTTTAAATCTGATTTCCCCCTGTTTTGTTTTGTTTTGTTTTGTTTTGTTTTTTAATAATATGGTATCTCTTTTTTTACACTGTAAAGAAAGATATACTTTAAAATTGAAATTTGAAGTATGGGATATAGGTATTGTTGATTTATCACAATAGAAGACTTTGATGTTTTCTAACTTTTGAAGAAAAAAAATGCCGTTTACATAATGTTTCAAAACTTTTTCTCTTTATATTACGTCTTATTTCATTTGTTTCGTTGTAAGTCATGATTAACTAGACTGGTTCTTTTAACATTAAACGCATAGAATGATCATGTAAAAACCAAATATATTAAAACCGTTATTAAACAAGATTCCTGCTTTTTTCCGGCGAAGAATTGCAAATAAATGAATAAAGGTAGCAACAGAAATATACTTTATTCGAAAACATACAAATTTATCATAATTTACAGAAATGCACTTCACTATATTGTGTTTTGAATGTTTGCTTTATCCATCTAGTTTAAATGGTATGTAAATATAGACTTAATGAATAGATATTTTAGCTACTGGATAAAGCGAATTTGAGATCACTTAGTTACAAGTGCTTTTAAAAATCTCATTGTTTTAATTAAATAAGCATTTTAACTATTGGATAAAGCAAATATGGGATTACAAAATTATAGGTTGCTTTTTAAAATCTCATTTGGTTTTTTCTAATCTCAAAAGTTAGGAAAGAACATATTCAATTAAAAAAAACACATTATTTTAGCATTTTTTTTTAAAGAAAAATGCGTTGCCTTATTGAAATGTAAACGTAAGATAGAACTTTTTTTTTGAAAAAAAAAAATAAATGCACGAGCTATGTCTTTTAAAATATATGTGACAAATAATTAGGAGATTTAAATCATACAATCAAAAAAAAAAAATCTTGAATTCAAACATTCGGAATAAAAAAAAAAACACCTTATTTGTATCCTGCATTTTCATGCATTTTGTTCACGGTACTTCGCCTAGTTTCTGTTATATGTTTTGGCAATTATACCCATGTGCATGTGTATTATAACATTAAATATCTAAGATATCATTTGAAGATAAAGCATGCATTTGTTCATCCCTGCCTTATACACATGGTCGATTGGAACTTTGTTAGCAACGAAAAATGGCTACATATCATGACTTTATACGGGAAGGATATAAACAATTGAAATTGATCACGAGTAATATTTCAGTAGGGAACTTCATGTATTACTTTTTGACCATACAATTTCCCCATTTTAATTCATTTTTTTTTTTTCACAAAAAGGAAGTATAACCATTTGAATATTGAGGCAAGGGATTATTTCATAACTACAATAGTGGATAAAGCAAGAAATAAAATGTTGTTGTATGCAACAGATAATGAATGAAATAATAATTATCAAGATTTTCTAGACATGTATAATATGCTGTGTGTACAAGTTGGATTTTCTATCACAGAGGCTCATTGAAATGCCACATTTTTAACTGATTAAAGAACAACACACTTCTATTTAAAAAATAAAGAAACTTCAAAATATTGCATAATTTCAACACGCTTTCATGTAAAACAAATACTTAATAAAAAAAAAAAAAAAAAAAAAAAAAAAAAAAAAAAAAAAAAAAAAAACACTATTACATCATTCAAATCTGATCAAATGACATAAAAATACTGTATTCCTTAAAAGAAGAGGACAAATGTTTTACAAAAAAAAATATTGCTGGGGACGTTTTATTAAATATCATATCCATGCAGCTTGCCTCTTGAAATCCAAGACTAAAAGAGATAGGGTACACAGTATAAAAGTTTAATATACACTCAAGATATCCCAACCCAGAGGCGAGATAAATAATACTCAACCACAAGTGATTTTTCGATGAAATCCTAGCTTACGACTGGTTAACGTCTTTCACGTGAATAGGGTGTAATACTTATACATGGTCACTTAAAAATCAATACATGGTTAATAAGGAGTAATCAATCTTTTGAAACAGTTTCAGTTGACCTTGTTAAGTGACAATGTCTGATTACAATTAAATGCTTAGCTAACATCAGTAACGAGCACACATTATGAAACTCTTTTTTTTTTCCCTTTACTTAACTTCTTCAAAGTCTGTACGTTAAATTACTGTACGGAACACTCACAAAGCAATATTACAAAGCACGTAATGTCATAATAGGCACCTTACACTGGCGATGAAACAATACTAGGGAGAAACAATTTTACAAACCATGGAGATCAGACTATATTGTTAACGATAGGGTAAATTTCTTACATAGTTTTGTATACGTAGTGACCAGGTACGGGATTATATCTGGTTAGTAAATTGTATACATGCACCTGGCGAGGCGTACATGTAACTATTAATTACTCACTGTACTTCAGTCCTACCCTTATATGACATGGCTTGCACACACCTGAAGCTGCACTTTTTCAGGCCTAAAGCATATTTATATAACTTAATATTGACTTGCAGGTCTTTGAAATTCTAAGAATCTTCGCTTTAAATGACAATGTAAAAATGGGATCCACTAATTTTGCTATGCCATTAACGCTAATGGCGGAACTTGCAGTTTATGCTAAAGCATTTCCCATGATGTTCTCGGGAAGAACGTTTAAAAAAACATATAAAACATGCATATTCTATCATTGCCCCATACCCGACTCCTCCTTCTTTAATCTTTACCCATGACTTAAAAAAATTGCCTCTATGGATAAATTAATTCACAGTCGTTCTTGAGAAGAGGGGTTAAAAATCAATAGAGTTTGGTACCTCATTGTGCTCCTTACTACCAATTGCAAAATGATTTGGACAAAATTGAATGTGCACTATCTGAAAATATTTGCATATCTTCAAGACTTTTCATGTCTTAGTTCTCATTGAAAGGATTTATGATGTTTTTTTTTTTTTTTTTATTTTGTATTACCATGTTAAACTTTAATCCCTTATTTTCACCTAACACATGAAACAAGATTTGTTTTTGTTTAAAAAAAAAATGAATCTATGTCATCTTGGAAGGCTTATATTTTAAAATGAAAGCAGTAATTATTTTCATATTTTAACACAATGTTTCAATCGATATCTTCCTTTGTTGAACGTCAATCCTCTGATTTGGAATCGTCTTATCAATTGGTGCCACAGTTGAATAGACATACGTATACATCTTAAATGGAAACCCTTTAAATAACTTTCATCTTGTTTGGCAAGGTGGTTCATAGGATGATTATCATGTTTAATTTCAGGGACAATCCTATTTTAATATCAACTTTCATCAGGGCATATTTCTTTACAAACATTAATAAATAAACATTAATCCCCTTAAATGAAGCAGGTCTTTGGTAACTATGGTATAATTTGTTCTAAAATGAAAATTAAAAAAATTGAAAAGGAGCAGATAAAGACAGAAGACAGTTGAGAGTGATCAAGAAAATTTACCTGAATTCTTTGTTCATTTTGTGAAAGCAAGGTTGGAAATTATTTGAATTTTAACAGGATTATAATTACCTAATGCGTTTAATATTTCAGAGATTTTTATATGTTGAATATTTATAAGTTTACAAAATTAAGTGACAATGTTGTGTCCTGCACATATGTAAAGTAACTTCAAGAGTTTACACTGTCGCTTGTTTGTTTGTGTTCATTATCAAAAATTGATTTCAAGATTGAGAATAGAAAGTAGCTTAAATTAAAAAGTAAGATTCTTACAATATTTGAAATGAACTCCATATTAAGAAAGCAGTGGGTTCCATTTAAATTTCCCCCACTATAAGCCCTTTAAGCAGACAATATTCCTTGTTAACTGATTATGTTTCTTTAATTAGATTGAGGTTTGCCTGCTTTCTTGAATTTTCTATGTCTCTTGCAAAGGAACACTTGCTATTTAGGCGTAGATGTTCAAAAATGGCATCATCTCCCAACTTCCAGTCATCCTTCTTACAACCACAATGAAAACACGCCGTTGAGGATTCATAACCTAAGAAGAGAAGCAGAGAAGCAAAATAGATGACTTATCTTAAATTTCCAATGCAAAAAATACACTCTATGAATACAGTTTAATATGTTTGATAGTATGTGTTGGTGTCATAATGTTTACAAAGCAAACATTACCTGCATAGAAAAAGCCGGCACTAGCCAAGTTGTCAACTATTTCCTGTGGTGAGAACCCAGAAAAGGAGAATTGTCTGATACTTTTGCTTGTATAATCAATGAATAAAGGTCTTTCTTCTTCAGGAGTAAAAATTTTATCGTGGGTACTTGGAATGTATGGAGTATCTAATTTAAAATGAGAAGAAAACGTTCGATAATATGGAAAAAAAAAAATACCCTCTGTAAAGCAGTATATTAAAAATATTCAAAAAGACATTAATGAACAAACCTTCAATAAAGAATATCAGTTAGGTAATTAAATTATTATTACGGTTTTTAACTCGAGGACAATTTCTATGCAAGATCAATATAATTTCAATGGTGAAATTAGACTTACCTTTTTGTCCTGTTTTTGAGAAAAAGCCTCTGTGTAGTGGGTCATGGGAAGTAATCTTTTCTTGACTTAAACCTGAAATTATCATTTCAGAATTTTTATTTTAAGAATTTTTTTTTCTTTCTTTTTTTTTTTAATACTGTTATATGTTTGTGTGTGTGTGTGTGTGTGTGTGTGTGTGTGTATTTTTTTTTTCAAGGAAATTATTCTTGAATTATATCATCTTCATGTCATCATGATTAATATTATATTTTTTTTCTGCAGCAATGATTATGTGATAATGCACTAATTATCTGCAAATTTGTTTATGACCGTATCAATCAACTGCTTAAAGTATACGAGATAGATGATAAATGTTAGAAAATGGCTGAAAGTACTTTTAAATGTATCTCCCTTTTCAAGTAGGATATCTTCCACTTCAGAATCATTACTCTTGTAGCCTAAAAGCAAAATAATTTTAGGAATATTAGCGAAAATATTCTTTGAAGGCAAATAATGTTGCAAATTATGATCACAAAAGAGGACATTTTAGAAATCTCTAAAAAGCATTTTTTTTTTGGAGGGGGGGGGGGGGCAGATATTCTTATCTTAATAACCTATACAAAATTATCTATGAATCTTTTGGTATAATAAATCTTTTGGTATAATAAAATGGGAGGACAATTAACAATAGGGAATCATGCTCAAAAGTCCAATTGTGAGCAGAACAAACATGGAAATCTGAAAACCAGTGAACTCAGGTGCCATGGAAGAATGAATATCACTTAAGTGGACAAACCTGTCATGTGCTGTTTGTCAGGATCTGGTGGACAAAAACACTTTAATTTAGACGAAAGAGAAAGTTATTTAAAAATGGGGAAAAAAGATAAAAGAAAATCCTGTTGTTATTCTTAAGCTCAATACTCTTTGGTCACATTGATCAAAAGAGACACCAGTCTCTTCCAAATCCGTTTCACAATTCTGAAAGTCGCCCGCGTGGCACAGTGGTTAGAGAATCTGCTCTAGAGTCGCGAAGTAAGGAGTTGATCCTTACGTCGCGGGTTCGAATCCCACTGTGGGACGTGGAGATTGGTCCTTCGGATGAGACCGTATAAACTGAGGTCCCGTGTCGCAGTAGGTGCTGGCACGAAAAAGATCCCTCACTGCTCAATGGCCGTAAGTGCCGAGTATAGGACAAAATTTGTAGCTCTCCACCGGCAAGTGGTGGCGTCTCCATATGAGTGAAAAATCCTCGAGAGGGACGTAAAACAACATACAAACAATCAATTCTGAAATCTCCTAGATATGTGAAGAAAATCTTACAACGGTTTCGACGAATTTTGCATGTTAATAAAAAAAAAGAATAATAAAAGAATAATTAATAAAAAAATATAATTGCATTGATATTTTCCTCTGCTTCAAATCTGATTAATTTTGAATTTGTAAGGGAAGGTCCAAGAAAAAACAAAAAGTACAGATATAAATAGTGATTTCATTTACTTAGAAGATGAATCACATCACTTACAAAACATATATAATCTACATTGTATTCAAATAGAAGTGAAAACGAAAAAAAAGGCCCTTTACATTAATTCCAACATGAAGACCAAAGATGAAAGAGGTAGGGATTTGCTTGTGCATTTCATCATTTTGAAAGATAAACTTTACCAAGTATAGTAGACATTTGTGAATTTCAAACGATTTGTCACTGGTTTGCAACGTACCTTTGGAATCGGCCTCCTTGTGTAGATGTTTTTCCTGGTTACTATTAATATCTTTACCGCTTCGTTTCTTATAAATAACGAACCCTGAAACTGCTGCAATAAGTAGTACAGCAGCTGCTGTAACTCCCACTGTAAAACCTAAAGTAACTTCAAGACATCTAAATCCTGTGCAATCCAAAGAGCTGAAACGAGTTTTATAGATACATACAAACTACGCTTACCTAGTGGAACAAAAGATATTTTTTTAATTGTAATGTTGATATCTAATAGTGAATTGGCTATTAGCAAGTATAAGCTCTCGAAGAACATCATACCTTGCGAGAGTTGTTGAGCTAGGTTCTTTTGAAGAGGTTGTGGTGCACTTAATTTGAAGGGAACTGTCCTTCTCAAATTCGAAACATTCTCGATCTGAAATTGAAATTTAAACTAAAGTTTTTGGTCTTTCTCGTTCGCTGTTTTGTAAAACGGACCCCTTTTTTTCCAAAGGTATACAGTCTAATGATTTTGTTTGTTTGTTTGAGATAATACAATAAATAAGGAAGTAGCTTTATAATTTCAGAAGCAATTTGCACAGCATATATATATATATATATAACGCATTCCAAAATCAAAACAGAAAATCTTTTTTTCTGTTTTAGGCTTTTTGACATTAGGTATTGACAAAATCTAACAAAAAACACAGTTTTATAAGATATTTATTGATAAGATTGTGAAAAATCAGCATTTTTCTAATAGAATTACGATCTAGTGTCACAAACAAATTGAAATGTAAATATATAGAGGAAATATTGACAATTTAGCAAGATTTTACGGGGTAAATTTCCCCCAAAAGAAAATCACTGATTCACAACTTAAAGATAGAAAAAATCTACAGGGTAAATTTCCTCTCAAAAATGACATTGATACAGTTTACCTACAGTATTTCAAAGCAAAAGCAACCATCTTTTAGGTAGCAAGACTTTACGGGGTAAATTCCCCCCCCCCCCCCCCCCCAAGGAATATCATTGATAAAGTATTCACTCTCTCATAAAAGCGAACATTACACTTTGAAAATCGCAGAACTCTACAGGGTAAATTTCCTCTCAAAAATGACATTGATTCAGTTTGTATACAGTGTTTGAAAGCAATAACAACCATCTTGATGATAGCAAGATTTTACGGGGTAAATTTCCCCCCGAAGAAAATCACTAGTACAGTATTTATGTTTCGCAAACATCGTGAAGATGGCAACAATCTACAGGGTAATTTTTCTCTCAAAAATGACATTAATACAGTTTATACACAGCATTTCAAAGCAAAAACACCCATCTTTTAGATAGCAAGACTTTTCGGGGTAAATTTCCCCCCAAAGAATACCACTGATACAGTATTTACTACTCTTAAAAAAACGAACATTACACTTAGAAAATCGTAGAACTCTACAGGGTAAATTTCCTCTCAAAAATGACATTAATTTAAATACAGTGTTTGAAAGCAAAAGCAACCATCTTGATAATAGCAAGACTTTATGGGGTAAATTTCCCCCCAAAGAAAATCACTAAACAGTATTTATGATTTGCTAACATCGTTAAGATGGAAACAATCTACAGAGTACTTTTTCTCTCAAAAATGACATTTATACAGGATATACACAGTATTTCAAAGCAAAAACACCAATCATGTAGATAGCAAGATTTTACGGGGTAAATTTCCCCCCAAAGAATATCAATGATACAGTATTGACTCTCTCATAAAAGCGAACATTACACTTCGAAAATCGCAAAATTCTACAGGGTAAATTTCCTCTCAAAAATGACATTGATTCAATTTATATACAGTGTTTGAAAGCAAAAGCAATCATCTTGATGATAGCAAGAGTTTAAGGGGTAAATTTCCCCCCAAAGAAAATCACTTATACAGTATTTATGATTCGCAAACATCGTGAAGATGGCAACAATCTACAGGGTAATTTTTCTCTCAAAAATGACATTAATACAGTATATACACAGTATTTCAAAGCAAAAACAACCATCTTTTAGATAGCAAGATTTTACGGGGTAAATTTCCCCCCAAATAATATCACTGATACAGTATTCACTTCTCTTATAAAAAGCAAACATTACACTTTGAAAATCGCAGAACTCTACAGGGTAAAGAACAAGTTACGGTTTCAATACAAATCTTGCCCTGTGTTTTTCTTAAAAATAAAAGGGATGTAAAAAATTAAAACCCATGCTTTTTGAATTATTGAAATTCCATGCAGAAAGATCATACAAATCTTTTTTCTCACATGACCTTCCAAATGCTAATTGTGACGTCATAAACTTGTGCATTTTCCCGTATTTTCTTAAAAAGTTGCAGAAGACATAAATTTTCAATGGAATTTTCTTTCAGATAATATTGTCCACAGGCATCGCCCACAAAGATTTTGAGATATTTGATTTTTCAAAGAATTTTACACAACATATCTAAAAATTAACGTGGGCGACGGCTGTGGACACTATTTTCTTAAGGAAAATAACCCTTGAAATGGGTCATTTTGAGGCTTTTTCTGTTTAAAATAGAGAAATGCATCAAATTAATGACGTCATATATCCAGAATGGTACTCCATCATGCTATATTCTTTCCTGATTTATTACAGTCATATACTCAACTAATATTTAAGCCAGTTTCAAAACTTTTTGAAAACATTAATTTTTTAGGGCACAATAAAGCTAAAACCATACCTTCTTCTTTCCGCTAAAAAATGACATTGATTCAGTTTATATACAGTGTTTGAAAGTAAAAGCAACCTTGTTGATAATAGCAAGACTTTACGGGGTAAATTTCCCCTCAAAGAAAATCACTAATACAGTATTCATGATTCGCAAACATCCTGAAGATGGCAAAACTCTTAGGGTAATTTTTCTCTCAAAAATGACATTGATGCAGTTTATACACCGTATTGCAAAACAAAAACATCCAACTTTTAGATAGCAAGTCTTTACTGTGTAATTTTCCCCTCAAAGGATATCACTGATACAGAATTTATGCTTCGCAATATCTTGGCGGTAACAAAAATCTACAGGGTAAATTTCCTCTCAAAAAATATTATTGGTACAATTTATCTTATACGTGGGAAAAGCGAAGTTTACACTTTGAAAATCGCAGAAAACTCTTCAGGGTCAATTTCCTCTCAAAGACGATATTGATACAGTTTATATACAGTAATTAAAAACAAAACACCCATCTTTTAGATAGCAAGACTTTACGGGGTAAATTTCCCCCAAAAGAATATCACTGATACAGAATTTATGCTTCACAATATCTTGGCGGTAACAAAAATGTACGGGGTAAATTTCCTTTCAAAAAATATTATTGATACAGTTCATATTATACGTAGAAAAAGCAACACTTAAAAAAAAGCAAGTATCTACGGAGTAAATTTTTCCCCAAAAAGCATCAAGGATACATTATATATTATATTGAAAGCATGAACAACCATTACAACTTGATGATAACAGGACTTTAGGGGGTAACCCCCCCCCCCCCCTAAAGAATATCAATGATACAGTTTATATTATTCACAGATAAAACAAACATTACGTACATATTTAAAACAACAGAACCTTACAAGGTAAATTTCCTCTCTTAAAATAATTTGATACAGAACTTACTTTTTACAGAAAAAGCATACATTACATCTGTACATCTTGATGACAAAAAGACTCTCTGGGGTAAATTTCATCTTAAAGAATATCAATAATAAAATATATTTTTCAAAGCACGAACAATATTACAACTTGATGATGGCAAGTTTCGATCTATGGGGTAAATTCCCCCTTCCCCCAAAAATATCTCAATGATAAAGTATACATTTTTCACAGGAAATGTAAACGAGGTCCTTAGACAAAAAGTCCTATTTAAAAAAGGAAATACAAACGTAAAATTTTGATGCTAGCAACACTCTACGGGATTAATTTACCCTCAAAGAATATCAATGTCGCAGTGTATTTTATAAAAAGCAAAATCAACAAACATTACATCTTGATGATAGGAAGACTCTACAAGTACCCCCTCCCCATCTTAGCGAATAATTTTCGGAGTTAATTTCCTCAGTATCTGACAAACTGTTCCGTTATATCGAGATTATGTAGTTACAGTTTAATTTTTTTTTTTTTTTTTTTTTTTTTTTTTTTTTTTTTTTTTTTGATCAAACTAGTTTACAATATCTTCATCTCGTTAATTTTTTTTATTGGGTACTTTTTATTAAAACCAATGAAGAAATCAATGTTACAAAGTAAATGTCTACAAATTTTGCTACATTTTTTTTTTAAATTGCATATAATTCACAGTTAGAGTTAATTTTAACGGTTACTTTTCAATTATTTTGCAGATTTGATGACCCCCTGCATTTTTATCAAACCGATACACACCCTATTACCAACATTTCTCCACTTGATAATTTTCTTCTTAAAATTTTACGTCTCTGATATTTTATCTTTTAAGCAAAAAATAACTTAAAAACGTACATGTACTATACGGACGCTTTGCATTTTACTATTTTGCAAGTATCACTAAAAACTTTCAAAATGATGATTTGCTAATCCTTATAATTTTGTTAAAACCTCCAAAATCGTTCCAACAGTAATTTCTTGTAATATAATAAAATATCAAGAAAAGGAAATACAATTTTACTTCTCCCTGATTTAAAAATGAAACATAGGAAAAAAAAATAATGACATAAAATTTTAGGATAATGAATGTATAATTTTTATATTACAAACGATGTTTCTAGTAACTAAATACCATGCAAGCTGGAAAAACTTAATATTAAGGTTAACATAATATTATATCTTATAAATATAAAAAAAGAGTGAAGCTTCTCGCATCTGACCGAAGTTCCATTTCTATGCTTTTCTACTGGCTGATGCAACAGACAAATTGCAGATTGCATTTTCCAAAGGAAATCTGGCAACCATATTCTGAACCAATCCAAAATCCACCTAGGGATGAAATTTTAAGACTCGTAAGTCACCTCATCATATAGTTTTTTCAATTTACTTCAATTTTCCAAACCCTTAGGGAATTTTATATGATTTCATGACAGGCATGACGGATTTAATATTGCGCACAAGAGTAGCAGGTGCCTGCTCCGAATTTTTGTAAAACAATCTATCTGTTTATTTGGTATGGAAATTTCATTCAGTATTCTAAAGACCCCCCCCCCCCACAACACATATATACACATACATTGAAATGCTTCTTTTGAGATTTATGCTTATTTGTGATATGAGCTAATATTAAAAGATTATTAAAACAGTTAAATACACTTACTATAGTATTTTAT